TACCTGGAAACCTAAAGCTGCACTAGGTATACATCACATATTAGCACAAAAACTTGATATTTTGAGCACTCAATTGAAAATGTGCACATAACGTATCAATCGTGCTTACAGGTTGTGCTTCGGAGAGTTTGTTAGTCCAAATTAAGAAGATAGAAGAAGCCAACGAAGATAAAAGCCAAGATTAGAGAAGCAGTCCTTGGTAAAGTGACATGCACACAACAAAAGGTTCAAATTGTATTTCTGTGGTATCCCAGCGTCTTCTCGACATGATGTAAACACACTAACTAGCGGAAGTGTTTGTGGGCAGGCCAGACTCTGTTCGTATTTTGCGGGCATTATGCAAATGTGTTACCCAGTGACGTATACCGTAACAGGCAAAAGATTAGAAAATATGACGACTTAAGGCGATTCAGAGTCGACTCTCTCTTTTGAGAGACAATATCTTTATTTATCATGCACTTTTTTGATGAACAACTTTGCAGATTGTTTTCATTTAAGGATAGCTACGTTATAAACTGCAAAAGAGATATTTTTCAAAAACCCATATGACCTGCTCTTTAAAAACACACACGACTTACAAAAAACAGTCGGTTATGTCTATGAAGGTAAACTGCTGGGAAATAAATTGCATGTTTATTTTAGATCTGTGTGTCAGCAGCAATATACAGTAAATAAATCAATAAATCCACTGCTCTGTTGTCTCCTCTGAGGCTGGGACTCTAAATAGTGTTCTGTGCTCGTCTGTGCAGCCAAAGACAGAACAGTTAGCATGTTTTGCTCAAACTTTCTCCATGGCATTAGAACTGGTACACTGTTGTCGCTTACGAAAACACAATAACGGTGCCGTGGGTGGAAACTTACAGATTAAGGGGCGGTAATATTATAATGAGATCCCTTTGCCACATCACCAAGGGAGCGAAATCAGACGCGCTCGTTTTCTCAGACACCTGCAGAAAAAGGCTTACCTAAACAAAGTGATTGGGTTCATCTTTTTCACGTTTCCTTAGTTTGGTAGATGCACCGGGGACCTGATTATAGCACTTAAAACCTGGAGAAGATTTTCATGATATGTCACCTTTAAATAAATGAAAGAATTAGAGAACCATAACCATATGAACCATAGTCAAGTTCTAGAAATAGCACACTTTAAAAGTTTGACAAAGTTTGTGTCTTTACTTTTTAATAATCCACCATCTAAAGCGCAATGACCCAGTGAAGGTCTCCTCGAAAAACATGTCAATTTAAGACCAGCAAAATGTCAGCCTTCAGAGCAGATTCATTTAGTTTGAACAGCACTGTTGAGTTTTTAACAGCAGAAGAACTGCAGGAGCTCTCAGCAGATCTCAATGTATATGAGAATATCTGGACTACAAGCCAAGCAGGTGCAGAAAGAGCTGTCAGACGCTCTGAAGCTCAGACGGGGTTTTAATCAAGAGTTCTGCAGCTATCACATCTCTGATAAATGCATGAGAGAGAGACTTCTGATAGGTCCATTAAAGCATTAAAGAGCGCTGACCGCATTTAATAGCTAAATAAATGCCGCTGATGATGGGAAATCATTTTAATGGTTCTTCTGCTGCTCTTGTGTGTTTGAAAGTCTCTGATGTTACTGTATGTGTGCGTGCAGGGTTCAGACATAACACTCAATAAAAACCCAATGCAAGTAAAAACTGGCTTTAACCTTTACATAAACTGCAACATAATGCATGGTTTAAATTGTATAATGTAACAAGTTTTGCTTAACAAATATAAATCCATGCAAATCCTTTCACCAAAATCAACATTTAAGGAACAAAATCAAAAAATTAATAAATTCTCTAAATTTATCCACTATTGGCAGGTGAAACAAAGCATTAAATCACACCAATACCCGACATGACAGGCCTGCCATAATGACAGATAAATAAGACACTAGTGCTCTGACAGCCACTTGTAGGCAAACGTAACACTGATAAACGCAGACAGAGATGATCAATGTGTGATTTGGAACATGTTTCATGTCACGGCCCGCTCATCTCAGACGAGTCCTCCAACATTTATGAGCTCATACATTAGTGTTATGCAGGTCCGCAGGCTTGAATAAACACAATCGTGTGATGTGTGTTGTGAATGGCTGCTGACCCCCAGACAACAAGGAGGAAGAGAAGAGGCACGACTGCAGATCCAAAAGGAGAGGAAACATGAGAGGGTGGTTACAGATAAATATAGACACAAGTTTGAGCTTTGATCTCTGAGTGCCATCAAGAGACAGACAGAAAAAGAGCTGGTTACATCACACATACTGCCACACAGGAAAGGTGAAACGGATCGTAGTTGATCATTTGCATGTGCTTCTAAGTCTTGCCGATTTAAACTTTCAAGCGGTTTAAGCCATTCAAGCATAAACGTAAACAGTGGAGTGAGAAATCTCATGTGCATCATTAAATAGGATCGGAGTATTCGGTCTTAAAGGGGCAGCAGCTTATAAATACCTGCTGTTCCATAAGCGCCACCTGCTGTCAGAAAGTGACATTCTCATTCAGCCCGTCTGCTGTTTTTGTTTTGTTCAGATGTGTTTTATGTAGTTTAGTTTCACAAAGCTAATGTCAGACCATTCTGTTTTTGCTTCAAATTTCGAAATTATACAATCTAAACAACATTTAGCATCTATGTTTGGATCGTAATTAAAATGCAGTGGTAGCCTCTGATTTTAAATAGAAAGAGCACAGACAAAGCCTTTGTTTCTATGAAGAGATTTCTTTCATGTTAGTTTTATTATTTGACATTTCAATTTCACAAAGAAATATGCAGCATTTTGTCTGAGAAATAATAAAAGCACACCTTTTCATTTATAATTTGTCTTAAATCTCATTTTAAAAAATTGTATTGTGTAATCGTAATTCATATCGCATCGTGAGTTGAGTGAATCATTACATCAATATATGCTACTAGTTTTTGCTGCGGTATCAAAGTGTTCTTTTAATAATATGTGTAATTTAAATAATAAAGAGCCATTTTTTTTACTCATACGAAAAATGATACGATCTGTCACTCAAAATTCGTAATATGATCCGAGCCATGAGTTGTGTAATCCACTGCACCCCTACTCTCTTGACTTGTCATTTGAAGAAAAAATACAACCACTGAAGTTTTTGATCATGTTGATTTGTCCGTAGAGAAGTTCAGCCAATGTTTTTTTTTTTATTCAGGCTAGTTAAATTCATTTTGGGCTACCAAAATCTAAAGAATGCCTGCCCGAAAGGCTACCAGAGATTTTGAAATTTTGCGAGCCCTGTCAGTACTAGAGGTTGCACCGACTAGTCGACTTCAATGCTCTGTCATGACGCTTGCCATGAGTTGTGTAATCCATTGCACCCCTACTCTCTTGACTTGTCATTTGAAGAAAAAATACAACCACTGAAGTTTTTGATCATGTTGATTTGTCCGTAGAGAAGTTCAGCCAATGTTTTTTTTTTTTATTCAGGCTAGTTAAATTCATTTTGGGCTACCAAAATCTAAAGAATGCCTGCCCGAAAGGCTACCAGAGATTTTGAAATTTTGCGAGCCCTGTCAGTACTAGAGGTTGCACCGACTAGTCGACTTCAATGCTCTGTCATGACGCTTTAAGCTTGACGTCGACTAGTCGCTGGTCCTATAGAGGCTGCAACAGGATAAGAAATCTATGAAGGACTTCCACATTTACGCTCCGTTTCCAAACAGTTCAAATGACAAATAAATGCATACTCTGAAAGCGCTCCACAAGACATGCTCGAAATTGAACGGGAGAATGCACGTTTTAAACAGCTTATTGTATAGGTACGTTAATCGCCGTTCTAATCTAATGCGCTGCTGCACTGTAACGCACACACATAGGCTACAGACAGTAGCGCGTACATCACGCGCACAGAATCATTCAGCGCGGAAATGTATTGTCAACACTGTTCTGTGATTTCTCAATAAAATAGCTTAGAAACTGAAAAGTTCAAGCATATATTTCTTAATAACTAAATTCCACAGCTTCACTTCTAGTAGAGAGACGCTGCCAGGTAGAATTAATTCACACACGCAATCGCTCTCACTAACGCATTCATATTAATGTAATCTTTACAGTGCTACTTTATCTGTATCTGATTTAGAATGAGCAGAAATCTGTGAGAAATATAACGACCCAAAGGCAAAAGAACTGATAAAAAAGCTGTTATAGGAGTAACAGTCATGTGGGCAGCACTGTGTCATATGCCATAGCTGTGCACAAAGTGTTTGTCACCGCTCCAGACTTAATTAATGACGTCATCAGCGACTAGTCAACTTCGACTCGACTTTCATCACATAAAAGTCGACTTCAAAAAATCAGAAGTCATTCAACCCCTAGTCAGTACTGAGGTTAAACTGAGGTTTGCCCCAGTGACAAACTGAAGTACCGTTAAATGTAAATTTTTCTTACTGTTCTTCATGTGTTAACTGCCTGATATACATTTTATTTGTTATATATTTAAACAAGTTGTGACCACGACATCAAATCAGCTTGTGATGGCACAAAAACTGCACTAAATTTCACTAAAATATGTTCTCAAAAAGTGGAAAGGGGTCATTCACATTTGGTTTCAAAAATAATAAAATAAAATAAAATCTCACTCATACATTTCAAATATGCTTAGCTATTTAGAACTGATTTGAAAGAATAAGCATTTTCGAGATACAACAACAACAAAAAAACTATTTTAAAACACAGCTCTAATGAAAACAGAAAGAATGGCTGCAACCTCACTTCCATCAAGTGCATACCTACATAGACCAACAATTATAAAACAGCACAAAGGATGCAAGAACATTGTTCTGCGTGAAAGCCCTATAACACACACAGTGAGGGACATTTCTCCTCGATTACAAATGCAAATAAGAAACATGAACAGAGACCAGTCCTACATCCACCACTGGAGACAAATAACCTCTGAGTGTGAATATATTTGAATATTTGCACTCATGAAGAAGGGGATGGAGAGAGCGGAAAGTGTTCTTACCCCACTGTAGAGGAGCCAGCTGCAGATGTTCTAGTATGAGCTGGTTGAGGACGCCCTCCACGCTGGCCTCCCCATGACGCTGAAGGGACGAGTGCACATTTGGTCAAGGAAAACATGGCTTATTGCTATCACTCAAAATTGCTATACTGGTGCATCATTAATGATGCTGAAAACTGATGCACATTTGATCAGAATGTCCTATGATTCTCTACCCTACTGACCTTTATCATCTTTTTCCCGGAAGCGTTCAGAACAATAATGCCACTCTATGTTTTCTGTGTTAAATTAGCCAAGCAGCATGCATGGAGACGATGAGCGTGTCGACGGAGGTGAAATATTTGCACACAGCGACACTAATAACAGCGACGAGAACAAAAGCTCATTACGTAACAGCAGTGATGCTATCAGAAGCCTCTAATGACTGTGAGCTGTGTAATGATGCTGAGCGCTGCACTGAGTCTGAGAGATGGCCTTCTTCCCAGCTGAACCATGTAAGTGTATGCTGGGATCTGGCAGAAAGGAAGAGATTCCTACAGCCAGATATGAAAAATAATAATAATAAAGAAACTATTTATTTGACTTTAAAGGAATAGTTGAACCAAAAATGAAAATTTGCTCACCCTTTGGCTATTCAAGAAGTATATGATTTTGTTTCTACATAAGAACAGATTTGGAGAATTATAGCATTACATCACTTGCTCACCAGTGGATCCTCTTCAGTGAATGGGTGCCGTCAGAATGAGAGTCCAAACAGCTGATAAAAAACATCACAATAATCCACAAGTAATCCACGCCACTCCAGTCTAGCAATTAACGTCTTGTGAATTGAAAAACTGCATGTTTGTAAGAAACAAATCCATCATTAAAGGTGTTGTTAACTTCAAACAGTTGCTTCTGGGTAAAACACGAGTCCATAATCCGTAATGTTGCTCCATAATTGCTTTCTCGAAAAAATAAAAACTCATCTTGTCTGAATCAGGAGAGAAATATGCACAGATCAAGCACTGTTTACAAGTGAAAACGGTCCAAAACAGCTCTAAACAAATATAACGGTGGATTTTGAAGTAAGAGGACAACAGGGGATGAACTTTTTCACTGGAGGAAGCGTTTTTATGGATTATGGACTCTCATTTTAGCCAGAAGCTATAGTTTACAAGCCTTAAAGATGGATTTGTTTTTTACAAACAGGCAGCTTTTCGCTTCACAAGACGTGTGATGGACTGGAGTCGCGTGGATTATTGTGATGTTTTTCTCAGCTGTTTGGAGTCTCATTCTGCTGGCACCCATTCACTGCACAGGATCCATTGGTGAGCAAGTGATGTAATGCAAAATGTCTCCAAATCTGTTCAAGATAAAGAAACAAACTCAGCTACATCTTGAATGGCCTGAGGGAGACAAATAAAAGGATTCACATTACACAAAAATGTAAGTGACCTCACGTTTCAGTAATTATTGGCAAAACGACAGACTATGAAGGTTACAGGCTACGCAGAGACATTCCTCTTTATAATATATTAGACTGGCATGATGGTTGGTAGACTGGCATGATGGCATCTTTGACCCGTAGGCCTAGTATGAACTTGGACACATTCTCCCACAGGGCGGCTCTGAACACAACCCTCATCTGTTACTCTTCACGTCTTTCTCTTCATATCCTTGTGATTTTACCCGTCCAATCACGCCCATGTTTCTACACATCCAATGACTGTATCTCTTGATTATTTATTATTTCAGGTGTTTATTATTTTGTAAGTGTCATTGAGCCTCCGCAGTGGCAAGCGACTCATGAAGAGAACAAGTGCTTGTAATCACGGGGGCGTTTAAATGCTGTTAAAATGAGGGACGTTCAGAGCTCGTGTCAGGCTCCTGGAATAAATGAGAGATGATGAACGCCACTGGATGATGCGTAAGAAACCTGAGCATCTGATTGGCTGCTGCGATTTTGCCAGTGTGCCTCTCTGTTTAGAGAATGTAAAAATACACAATGGCCATTTTCATAGCTACACCATAGATTTCTAAAGATATCAACATAAAGCTAATAGTTCATAATACTACAGGCTAATCCGAACCCTAAAAGGAAACTACAAGGAAACTATTATTTATATAACTTTATCCAATTGAGGACATCTCCTCAGATTTACGTCTGAGGACAAATTTGTCCTCAAACTATAGCTAAGTACATGTTTTGCACACACAGAAGCGCCATAAGTTTGAACCATATGTCAGTGCATCAAGCAAGTGTAAACGTGCCTCCTCCAGTACGTCCAGCTGTTAGAAACAGATGCTGTCAGACGGTCATCCTCACAGCTGGGACACGCGTAACACCCATAACACATTACATCACCCGAGTCACTCCACATACTCCAAAGCCAAAGCTCCAGCAACGTAGAACAACAACAAAAAACTACCAGGAGAGCTCATCTGAAAACATCTGATTCATAAATCAGACAGCTACGACTCTGATCTGATCGGATGAGCCTATAGTTAAGGAACTAATGTTGCCTAACTAAGGGGAAATCAACACACAGGCTGACATGGCTTATCGTTCATTATAAAATGGAAAGTTTTAAGTTTCAGATAAACAGCTATTTAAAACCATTTTTCTATGTTAACTGTGCCAAAATCAAATATAAAATAATAAAATAAATAACCTTTTATTTTACTTTTTAAAATAACCATCCCACTTACAGTATATAGCCAAATAACTGTTTCTTATTTATTATTATTTTTCTATTAATACTGTATGTTTAACTATGTAAATATCTGTATAGTTTATCATACTTTGCTTCCACCATGCTAGGGTATTCTAGAGGGTTTCTAAGGAAATTTAAATAAAATAAAATCAGCCTAATATAATACAAATAACTGTTTAACTATTTGAACTGTATGTTTAATTCTGTAAACATCTGTATAATTTATCATATTGTTGATGACAATTTTAAAGCTGCTTTGGAAAAACATATATCACAAAAAGCACTAAAAAAAGAAAAATAACTAAATATTATATATTATGTATATGACGCTGTCATATGCTAGGCAAGACCAACCCAGGCTCATTGGAAATATGTGCCTGAAATGACATTTCTGCAACACCGATATTAAGCCAGAGTAAAAAACGTCTTTTTCCCAAACATTTGTATGCATGCAAATTGTATAATATCCAAGATACACATTTCTAGTAATTGCACAGTTAATTCTCATATTGTATATTTTCTGAAAGTTTCGGAATATTTGTCTTCTCTCCAAATTTGTCACTACCGAAACACAGTAATAATAATTTAATTAGAAAGGTTATATTGACCTATTAAGATTTTGCTTACATCTACATTGTAAATATATATTTTTGCTATTTTATTAATTTTTTTTCAGAGGTAAATCAATAATTACATTTTTAACAATATTTCAAGTGTAATTTATGAGTTTTGTTGCATTCCAATTTTTCTTTATAAAAGGCAAAAAGTTGATCATACTGATTTCAAAGTTAAGGATTCATTAGTTTGAATATACATTGAACCAAAAACTATCATAACATCTTATAGTTGATAATTCAGTATACTTTATTTTTGACGAAACATCCCATGTTTCGGTAGTGACTGCACATTTTCAGTAGTGACAGTAATGCTTTGGTAGTGACCACATCACATTATAGAATTTTAACTTGCATACTAAAACATACTAAAAAACTGCATAAATGTACTAAAATTTTGTTTATCTCCCCCAAATATGAGGATTATGTGTTCCCTTTTATCACTACCTAAACAATGATGACATGTTTCGGTCATGACTGTTTCGGTAGAGACAATTTTATGGGATAACACCCCCCCCAAAAAAACAAAGATGTCACTACCGAAACGCCACCCATTGTTTCGGTAGTGACAATTTTAGATACTTTTGAATTTTTTGCAGAAATGTAGATGGGGCAAGTATTTCCAATGAGCCTGGGTAGGGCAAGACTGTGTATTTCAGTGATTGTACCACGATTAAGGTATTGCCTTAATTTAACCCCCTTAAAAAACATTGCTTTTAAGAAAGTTGAGCTACTCAAATTACTCAGCTTTGCTGACACTGTAGTGTCAAGAAGAAAGTGTTAAGGGAATAGTGTTATCAGGACAGCTGGCTTTAGTAAAGGATATGATGGTCCAGTGGATGTCCAGCGTGCTGTTGATGAGTCCTCCCTGGACCTGCTGTCTCTTCTCTTCCTGTTGGCGTACTGTAGCCAGTCGCAGTGCATCATGGTCAATCACGGGCATGCTGTCAAAATCAAACTTATCCACCTGAATGGCCATCCTGCACAAACACAGAAGCACACCATGTTCAAGTGAAGTGCTATCATTCAAATCCACAGCAAAAATCCTTTTGTTTCACAGAGGTTGCATGGGAGGCTCAGAAATTAATACTTAAAATATCAAATTTCATTTGTGTACATGATGTTCAGAGACCGACAACACAAATCCATCATCATAACAGGCTTGTCAAAAACTGTCAACAAAAAATGCCAAGGACATGTGCACAAGCTCACAAAACCATTTCAGGCTCATAGAAATGGCAATAAAATATCCTTGACATTTCCATGTTCTCCATTATCAGCGAGCAGAGAGAAAGACAAAACGGAAGAGACAGAAAGAGCGATAGAGGGATGGATTAATGAAGGAGATAAGACCCTCTGGGGGGCTTTTGGGAGACGCTCTCAGGCCTGGAGTTGGATCGCAGCATTTCTGGAGAAGAAAAAACCTACTGCAAATCTACTGATACCAGATAGAAAAAAAAAAAAAAAGCTGTGACCTCACATAAGAGCACAATATCAGTTGTTTGAGTGTGTGGTGTGGAAATTATAAATAGGACAGTTCTAATACAAAAGAATACACTATGTTCTTACATGTGTTTGAAGAAAACACGAGGGGTGCTCACCTGTTAAAAACTCAACAGCATTCTAGGGAGTTCCAAAGAGTTACTAGTGTTGCAAAGTGGCTGATAAAGGATTCTGGGTGGTTTCTAGGTAGTTACTGTAACTGCCGGCCCTTGTCAGCAGAGGCCACACTAAAATGTGTATGGCCATATTTAAATAAATAAATATAATTATTTTTACTTTTTAATTAAGCAGCATTTTCATGCCATGTGTTCAGGAGAATGAACGAACAAACGAACAAGCAAACAAACAAACATGATTTTTTTTAAAAAGTATATTAATTCAAATAAAGCAGTATTTTCATGCCATGTGTTCAGGAGAAATAAAATACATTGCAATTTAGTTGGGATGGAAGGATGAATGGAAAGACAGAAGGATAGATAGATAAAATAAAATATATACATAAGATAAAACATTTTTTTAAATAAATAGACAGAGGGATAGAAAGAAGAATAGATAAAATAAAACAAACAAATAGAAGGATAGTACAAAATAAAATAAATAGATAAAAGTATAGACAGACTGATAACAAATCTAAACTAAGCTAAAATAAAATACAATACTTTGGATGAGACAGACAGACAGACAGACAGACAGATAGACAGATAGATAGACAGATAGATAGACAGATAGATAGATAGATAGCAAACAGCACTGATCATACATTCTGACTGCGCACACATCCTCCAGTTCTTCCTTCATTCATTCATCCAGTCCACAGAAGACAACAGGCCGAGATCCCAGCAGACACTGATACATAATTCATCACACATGCATTAAGGAAAACACAAACAGCCTGCAGCCGCTCTCTGTTTACACAGCCTGTGGCGAACTGGGCATCATGCAGGACGGAATAATTATTAAGTATCGTTCTGCTTTCATGCATCTGGCGCTCTGACGCTGCAGTGGATTGAGACGCTCGACTCCTGACAGTGAAGCGCTCAGATAGCAGCAGATGAAACACAGCATCAGTGAAGCTGGATGTCTCAATCTCCTCTGCTCCTTCATCTGTAAACTCTCCTGCTTGCTTGCTTTCATTTGTTCTATTGTTGGTTTATGTGTTTGTTTTGTCACTGTGACATTATTTCATTCATCTTTGTCATTCTTTAGGTTTATTTTAGTTGCCAGTTCTTTTATACCTTTGCTTGTTCTTTTCCTTCTTTCGTTCTGCCAATGTTTCTTTCATTCACTGGTTTGTTTTTATCCTCCAGTTCTGTTTCGTTTAATTTGTTTTTTTCTTGTTTGCTTTGTCATTTTTCCAGTTTATTCTTTCATTCTGCCATTTGAGTCACCTGCTTTTTTTCTTTCGTTCTTCATTATCATCCTTACATTTTTGTCTGTTCTTTGTTTCATTTTCCGTTCAGTTTCAATGCTTCCATTCTTTTAATTTCAAACAAGATTTTTTCTTTGTGCTTCCTGTCTTTCTATCTCCTTATTTGTTATTCCTTCCATTCTTCAGTCCTTCATTTTGTTCATTCCTCCTTTCATTCATCTATCTACCTTTCTTTTTGTTCTTCCTTTTAATCAACCTTGCTTGCTTTCTTTTTTATTCTACTTTCATTTCTTCTTTCTTGTTCTTCCTTCCTTACTCCATTCTTTTCTTCCACCCTTCCGTAATTCTACCTCCTTTTCCCTTTCTACCATCCTTCCTTATTTTTTCTTCTTCCTACTTTTTGCTCATTCTTCCTTTTTAACCACCCTTCTTTCCTTCTATTCTTCCTTCATTTTTTTGTTATTCCTTCTTTGTTCTACCTTCCTTTGTTTTTCCATTCTTCCCATCTTCCATTTTGTTCTTCCTTCCTTTTTCTGTGTCCTTCCTTCCTTCTTTCCTCTTTCTGTTCTACCTTTCTTCTTTTTTCTAAATTCTTTCCTTTTTTGTTATTGCCTTTCTTTTAGTTCTTCGTTCCTTCCATCCATTTTCTGTTCTTCCTTCCTTGCTTCCTTATTAGTTCTTTGTTCCTTTATTAGTTCTTCTTTTCTTTATTCCTCTATCTGTTCTACCTTTCTTCCTTCTTTCCTTCCTCTGTACTTCTACCTCTTTCCTTATTTGTTCCTCCTTTTCTCTTTCTGTTCTACCTTCCATCCTTCTTCTTTCTGTCATTCGTTCTTCAATCCATTCTTTTTGTCATTCTACCCATCATGCTTCCTTGTCTTTCTTTCTTTCTCTTTCCGTTCTACATTCCTTTCTTATTTTTGTTCTAATTTCTTTTCCTTTTTCATTCCTCCTTCCTTCCTTTAAGCTCTTCATTTTTTCCTTCTTCCCTCCTCTCTCTTTAATGCAGTCAGTCATGATGTTCAGTCACCTGATGTTTATGAGACGAGAGGTTAATGTCGGTGAAGAGGCTGCAGTTGTCTTGAGCTTGACACTGATGGACGTGTCAGTAAATGTGATCTGATTTGCGTGTAAACTGATCCTGTAAAACAACACACAAGTGAAAGGAGACACGGAGACATGATGGACTGATAAATACGACGTCTGAGATGTGGAATCTCATAAGAGAACTCCAAACAAAGATGTCTCATTGCAAAACATAAGCAGCGCTCAGAAAAACTCACAGAAATGAGAAGAGAGATGCCCAGTGTAATAAATCCAAATGCAAAGAGATTCGAGGCTCATCTCACAACAGACAACGAGAAAGACAGAAAGATCCCCTTATAGACACTCCACTGAGAAAACTCAATTCAGCAGTTACTATTTTAAAAACAAACCAAAATGAAACTGGTGACTTTCAAGATGCATTTTCTCAGAGAAGGTTTTATCATGAAACCCGCCTGACAGTTAACAGCTAATGTTTCAGTTAGCATACAGAGCACACTGTCAGCAGGCCAATTATAACACTGACACTAAAAATAACTAAGATTACTTAATAAAATAAGGAGGAAAAAATCTGAAACTAATCAATCTCACTAACCAATTAGTCAGTTGGATGTCAAGTGAACCAGCCAACCGGTGTGATTCATGCCTAAAGCTAATGTCCCACAGAAATGCTATGTAAAATTATATTTAAAATTATATTTTGCATAACAAAAATATAGTTTGTATATAGGACACTGAGATTTTTTTTCTTCTAAAAATAAGATCGTCTATTTGTTATTTGGGATGAAATATGACCTGAATATTTTTAACCAAATACACACAGTTATGATGGGTTTTTGTTTAGCATGTCCATCTTATTACCATATGAAGAATAATACAGCATTTTAATGCAGTTTCTTGACATTTCTTGTACAAAATATGCAAAGGTAAAACCTCAAACACACACATGCAGGTGCAAAGAAACACACACACACACACACACACACATCCCTGTTCTTCATCATTAGTTGTCAGTATCAATGCATCTGGACTCAGTCAGACAGAGGGTGTTATCATTCTATGCATGAGCACAAGGAAAAACAAAAATGAGAGAGAGAGAGAGAGAGAGAGAGAGAGGACAAAGCAAGACTGAAACAGATCTCTAAAGATTGAAGGATACAAATCACACATACATGCACACACACACATACATAAACATACACATTTTATAGGTGACTGAGGGAGAAGAAAGGAAAAAGTGACAGAAAAAAAATCCTACACTTGAAACTATAGCTCATATAAATTCAATGGTTAATTCAATGGTTCAATTAAAAAGACATGCAATCTGTGTGTAGCGTCTGCGTAGGATCATGCTGGAGTGTTGGACTGTTACAGAAAAAAAAACCAACACTTGAAACTATAGCTCATATAAATTCAATGGTTAACTCAATGGTTCAATTAAAAAGACATGCAATCTGTGAGACACATTTATATGCATGTACAGCATGCAGATGCATTTTAAAACAACCAATTTGCATGATTTTTCAAGCAATTACAGCAGTTCATCAATTTCAGTTTGATCAATTTTCAATACATATATTGAATATGTATTTTCCCTCTCTAGATATATATATATATACATACATACATATACCGTATATATACAGGAAGAGAAAATATAAAATTTTCAATTATCAATATTTTCAGTATAATATTTTATCTATCTATCTATATTCAGGAAGAGAAAGATACAGATCCAGCATTTATGCGATCAGGGCATTTTGCTGCAGTTTGAAAGTGTCACTGACTGTCTGTTCAGAGAGGAGAGTGAGAGAGAGAGATAGAGAGGGTTATAATTAGCTCACGTGTGTGTTCTCTCCCGTGACTCCAGCAGCAGAAACACTGAGCTATTTACAGACTGCCTCCCCGTAACCCGCGGTTACCGCCACACACACAGCAGCATCACTGCGCCACGGCAACGCCACATCACCCCATCTAGCATCAGAGCAGCATCTCAACATCGCATTAACTCACTGTGTCATTCAACTGAAATTATAATTTTATACAATCAAAACGACACAATCC